AGTGCGTTCCCTGCTTTTGCATCACCCAGGGACCCCTCTATTATGTTAAAGCATGACCTTTTTTCAACATTTTCAAAGCGATGGAGAATTCCTCCCCAGCCCTTCCTTCTACCAGATTCCACTGCTTCCCACTGTGCCCCAAATCAACTGAACCCAATACCTGCTTGCAGGCATAATTGCAGAGTTCACACTTGAACCTCTTCTCGTTCTTATGCGTTTTCTGGTGCTGGATGAGGGCGTAGCGTTCATGGAAGACGTCAGGACAGTAACGGCATCGCATCTCTGTAGCTTCGTACGTATGCAAGTTCCGCAAGTGGACACCTGAAAGGACCACACGACGTTGTATACTTACAGAGCAGGATTTTCTGTTAGGCGAGCTCCCCCTACCCTCCAGCTCCGGGTTTCTCAATCTTGGCACTCCTGACATTTGGAGCCGGATAACTCCCTGTTGCAGGGGGCCCTTCTAGGCATTGTAGGATGTGTAGCAGCATCTCTGGCCTCTGCCCACTAGATGTCAGCAGCATCCCCAAGGTGTCACAACCAATAATGTCTTCAGACATCACCAAATGTCCACAAGGGGGCAGAACTGCTCCAGGTTGAACCCCTGGTCTAAATGGACAGTATACAGTACAGAAATGTCATCTTAATATCTTCTCAATACAGAGTCAACTTTTACATAAAGTAGGTCACATTGGACCTAAACTGTTTACTAACAAAACACACCGAGAACCTTATCGTTATGTAGATGGAGTCTTAGAATGACTTTAAAGTGGTTTTACACAGCAAAGATACAACCTCGGTATTTTCACTTAAAGACTACGAGCCAAAAAGAAAACAAAGAATCCAGCTGTTGTGTGGAAGTCAGCGTCCTGCTACGTCCTGTGCCGCAATGGACCGGAGACACATGGTGAGGGCGGGCTGGACGTGCTCACGCGTCATTTCTGCTCAACCGAGTCAGGCGTTTTGGCAATTGCAGAACGAGGTACACCCCCACACATACCGGCTCAGCCACCCAAAGAGCCTGATTTCTCATCTAGTCACGGGAGGGGACATTGAGCGCGTTCATCAAAGGGGAAATACGGAGAGTAACACCTACCTGGACGTGCCAGAAGCCATATTACTTTGCCACGTCGAAGACTCCTACCTTCTTCTTAGCAACTCGCTTGTGGCCCTACACCCTACAGAGTCCACCAGGGCCGTGTTTCTTGGGGGGCTGGGAGCTATCCTGGTGGTGCAGTGGTTAAGAGCTCGGCTGTTAATCAAAAGGTGGGCAGTTCAAATCCACAGTGGCTCCTTGGAAACCCTATTCTACTCTGTCCCATAGGTTTGGTAGCTATAGTAACACCAGCACAAGGTCAGGATGCGAAAGAAAATTTCAGACTTTGTCAAGCACCTCCA